AAAAACACAACGCGGGTTTGTTGTTTTTTTCCCCCCCCCCCCCCCCCCCCCCCCCGGGAAAAAACACGGAAAAAGGGGGGTTCCTCCCCCCCCCCTTTTTTGGGCCAGGGGTTTTTTGGGATTTGGAACCCCCCCACCAAAAAAGGACCCTTCAAAAATTTTCCCCCCCCCCCCCCCCCCCTTTTTTTTTCTCTTTTTTTTTTTTCCCCCTTCCCCCCCCCCCCTTTTGGGGCCCGCGCCCGTTTTTTCCCCCCCCCCCTTCCCCCTGGGGGGGTTTTTTGGGGGGGGGGTTTTTAGGGGGGGGGGGGGGCCCGGGGGGGGGTTTTTGGGGGGGGGGGGGGGCAAATTTTCCCCGGGACATCCAAAAAAAGGGGGGCCCCGAAAAATTTCCCCCGCCAAGGGGGGGGGGGGTTTTTTGGTGGGGGTTGTTTTTGTTTTTTTTCCCGTTTTTCCCGTTTTTTTTTTTTTTTTTTCCCCCCCTTTTGGTTTTTTTTTTTTTTTTCGAATTTTTTTTTTCCTTTTCCTGGGGGGGCCCCCAAACCTTTTTTTTTTTTTTTTTTTTTTTTCCGGGGGGGCCGGCCCCCCCCCCCCCCCCCCCCCCCAAAGGTGTGCATCCAGAAGCGGTGCCACGCGTTGGGTCGTACGCCAGCGAGAGTGCGGTCCCCGCGGTCGGAGTTGGATGAGGACCAGGACCAGGAGGACGAGCTTTTCCAAAACCAGGAGGTGAAGCAGCCGTACTTGGTAATGGTGTGCTCTACACACAAGATATTTGTTTTCTCTCTTTTTTTTTCTTCCGAAACGAGGAGGTGAAACATTTGTAATTAGTATACCTAGCCTTGTTTTTTTTGTCTGTCCGTTCATTTTTCAAGTATTTCTTCAATCTATCGTCCCGTCTACTCTGCTGGACGTCTCTGTCTGTCTATCTCTCTCTCGGCATCTCTCTCACCATCTCTCTCGCTCTCGGAACACCTTTATGGGCGTATTGATAGAAATATCGGCCCCCGCGGGCACGCGGAAGGGGCACCTCCGGCGAATCCATCCGTGGTCGCAAGAAAGACGAGAGCACGTTGAGACTAACAAAGTGTGTTGATACGGACGGATGGGTCACACACTCACCCACTCCACCCTTTTGACCGTTCGTGGGGTACTATCAGAAAGAGCGATGTCTTCGGCCGCTTGATAAACATGAATGGCCCTTTCAAAACCTGACTGGAAAGAATTAAGACTTGAAACACATACCGTCAGCAGCTGCTGTGGTGTTAGCCGGGTAGTCTTTCAAGGTGATTGTATGCATGCTTCCACCCCCCCTCCCCCCCCCCCCCCCTTTTGTGGGGTTGTCCTATGCCTGTTGGTGGTCGGTTGGTCCGCACTCCTTTTTTTTTTTTCGGGCTCACGCTACTGGGCAGGAGGAGGAGGACGAGGAGGAGGACGAAGAGGAAGAGGACGAAGAGGCTTCCGGCGTCGTGCGCGACTACAGGCAATACACCAACGAAGGTCAGGGGGACGAAGAACAACAACAACAGGAGGAGGAGGAGGAGGAGGAGGACGAAGAGGACGAGGAGGAAGAGGAGGAAGAGGAGGAGGCACCAGAAGACGAGGTGGAAGGGCTGGAGGAAGAGAGGCTCGAGCGCCGAGAGGGGCAGCGGGGGGCGGGGAAGGCGGAGCGGGTGCCAGAGGAGGAGGAAGAGCGGGATGACCCCGCTTGGGGGGTGGAGGACGCGGAGGCGGAGGAGGCGGACCCGGACTTCCAGAAGATGCACAAGTGAGAGGCGGCGGAGGTGGTTGGTTGGTCGGTTGGTTGTTTTTTGCGCGATGTGTGTGCGTTTTTCTCGCGGTTTACGCGAAACTGAGCAATGACCCCACCCCCCCACCCCCCCCATACA